TCACGAGTTATTACTACAATAGCAGTACTTTTACTTCAGTACTTTAAGTCAGTGCATTTTGTACTCTTTCCACCTCTCACTATAATAGAATTAGAGCTGTGATTCATTTTTGACTGGATTGACTTTACTTTAGAGACAGAAATTAATGTACACCTGCCAGCCGATTTCTTTCCGTGGCAATGGTATAAAAAAAGATACAGCACTATAAAAACAAGAAGGACAAAATCACTCTCCTGTGTACAGCTTCCATGTAAACATAAAGCTCAAGCTTCGAAAGTGTGTTAAGCCGGATACAAAAAAAAAAAGAAAAAGTTCTGGCCTCCAGAAAGTAGGTCCACACTCCAACCTTCCCCCTTGCAAAGATGCTTATTTTGGAATAAGGCCATGAGTTGTATCACACCATGCTCCTGCTCTGAACCATGTGTATCTGTCCATTTGTATATCTGCTTAAATGTAGTTATGATTTTAACATCTGCAAAGAGTAGGGTGGTTTGTTTAAAGTCTTGTAGCATGTTTCAAGCATCTGGAAATAACTTGTGATCATTAAATGAAGTGCAATAGCATAAAATATTATCTGCTTACAAATTGTGGTAACACTTTATGATAACAGTACACGAATAATCATGCACTAATTCCTGAATTAATACTTACTTAAATATGATAACTTATGATGAGTTAAGGCATGTACTAATCAGGAACTAATGAAGAACTAATCTTAACTACGAATTCATGCGTGAATAATGACCACTTTATGTACATTAGTACGTTTGTTAGTTAATTTATTAAGTATGTAGGGGTAAACTGAATTCAACATGCCCTAAAAGAAAGAATATGAATTAAACGTGCATAATTTCAAATTGTTTATATAATTTGCCGTATGCAGCTGCAAACACAAACATCATTGGATAGCGCTGGATTACTTTCATAATTTACATTGATCCTCCTTATCGAATGTAGAAAGATGCTCTAATAATAAACACCAGTAATTTCTTCTCAACCCGTTCTGCATCATTCTCTATCATTCTCAGACTAAAACACCGGAATATAATCTTATAGAACATGGTAAATGAATAAATGTTACTGTATTAATTTCACCCTTGTGGGCAAAGGAGTAGTGCCCTGGGCCCAAGCAACCCGGAGCACGTACTGGTACTACAGTGGAATTTGAAGAGAAATGGATGGAGAATGATGCAAAATGGGTTGAGATGAAATTACTGGTGTTTATTATTAGTGCGTCTTTTAGCTCTTCATTAGTTTGTGATTAGTACATACCTTAACTTTACCCAAAATAAGCTTTACCCACATTGTTGAAAGTGGTGCTGCAGTCATCTCTGGAGCAGGATTTTCCCTGTTGAGTACTCGGTAAACCCTCTTGATGAACTATGGCTGCTTTGGCTAAGATACCTTACTAGCTAATGTCATTGGGCTAATGTAAGAAGAAGCTAATTAGCTAATGCAAAGTAGGCAATTGCTTTGCATTTTATTGTGACATTGTGACTTTGCTATCAAATCACCATTACAGTGGAGTGCACAGATTACTCCAGTGATGTTTATAATCTGGGAACAACAAGAGGAAGCAGAGGAGTGCTGATAGTCTCCTGGGGTTGTGATGGTAATATTTCTGTGGTGGACTGCCTTTAACATTCAACTTTTTGTTGCTAGATTTTTTTTAGGGAAACAGTGATGAACAACATCAAAACCTTATTTTTTTGTATAATCATTCTTCAAATGATTTATGTCTTCAGTAAGAAATAAAAGCTCTTGCTCAAAAAACCAGTGTAATTAAGGTAAGCGCTACACCACTAAAGCTAGCTAGCAGCACTGATGTACTTATTAGCCTGTACATTATTCGTTAACAGTTTGGTTCGTTAGGATTGGTTGTTTGTGTAGGCCTTCTTAGTGTAATGCATGCTGGGTAATGTGCTGTTACAGCATTGGTGGGTAAAGATACAAGACAGAGAAAATAGTGAATTCTGTCAAAGCATATAGTACGTTACAAAATACCACAGAATATAACATTACAAACAAAATATTTTAAGTATACAACAGGTTCGTAAATATTTGGACATGGACTTTTATTATTATATTTTATTATTATTATAACTTTTATTAATATTTTAGCTGTCTACTACAGAATATTGAAGGGAGTTTAAATTAAATAATGACTGTGAGCTTAAAGTGCAGACTTTCATCGTCAATTTAAGGTTATTTACATCCAAATCAGAAGTATGGTGTAGGAATTGCTTTTTAAGGGACCAAAAGTAATTGGACACTGGGCTACTCAGCTGTTGCATGGCCAGATGTGTGTTATTCCTTCATGATTTCACTTACAAGTAATCAGGCAAAATGTCTAGACTTGATTTTATGTGCGGCATTTTGAAGGCCACAGAAAACAACTGTGGTAGATAACAGAAGAATTATTTCCCTGGTGAAGAAAAACCCCTTCACAACAATAGCCAGATCATGAACACTGTCCAGGAGTTAGGCATATCTGTATCAAAGTCAACAATCAAGAGAAGCCTTCACCAGAGTATTATGGTGAACAAATATTTATAGACCTGACTGTAAATATGTGTATATCACAGTATATTTTCAAAATAGTGTATTCAGAGTTGAGTTAAGCACATTTAGTGAGGATTTAATACAGACATTGCATACTTCAATATTCAGGCATCAAACATAACCATGGATTTTGTCAAAATCAGAAGCATGTCAGGTGCGAGTCTGATTAAGCCCATTTTTGTTGCGTGATAATGACACAGGTGAGAGTAGTATTTAATCTCAACAGTACATATGACATTTTTACAAACAACATGCTTTCTGCTATTGCACTTCTAGCAAAATAATAGGATGTGTTGGATCAAGTGCTATTTTATAAGCTGCTGTATAATGAGGGTAGAAACTATATTGTTAAATGGAACCAAATTTGCAGTGATTAATGTGATGATCACTACTAGTACTATTCATGCAACAATATGTTAGCAATATTACATTTAACAGCAAAGAAAAAAAATACTTCTTCTGTCTGCATTTTCGATCCCTGATTATTCCAGGCTTAAGGGCAAATGCTTGTGTTTAAAGGCGGTGGTCTAGACGGCATTTCTACTCAACAACGACCTGGCAACACTGGGGGCATGAACTGTAGTTCACGGGGGAGGGGGTTTCGATCTAAATGTGGTGTCCATTAAATCAATTTAAGCAGCTGCGTAACCTGACTCTGAATACGAGGAACTTTCCCTGTGAACTTCATTTGTTGACTCTGAATATGACTCTGAGTAGTCACTGAGAAATCCTTGGCTCAGGCAATGACTGTACTATAGACACAAGGGATTCTTCTGAAACCATTTCATTTTTTTAGACTCACAAACATTTAAAACCAAGAAAATCTACAACAACAAAAAAATCTACATTTTAAATGTTAATGTTCAAACCTATAAACACATATTGTACATAGATACACCTTAAATATGAACAAGCAAAAAAAAAAAAAAGGTTAAGGCTTTCAAAATCGCTCATACAAAATTGAGTCCCAATCAGTTTACATTGCCAGAGCTGAAAACTTTAAATCAAAAACTTATAAAAACATTTATATACTATGCTTACGTCCATTCTTTTTCCTATGCCTCCTTCAAAATCACAAGGAACAAAAGTTTGTCAAATAGTTTATGCTGAGATTAAATTATATCAGTTTTAAATTTTGCATGTCTCCTCCAAAATGTGATAGAGATGATTTCTAATAACTTGTATTCCCCCTGTTTGAACTGCCTCCAACCTCTTTCATATCCTGTGAACAGCTTTTAGATCCTCTCAGGTTGGCTTGTAGGATACACACACATTCATTTTTAACTTCTTGCAATTCCTTTTTTTTAAAGTATATTTTACTTTATTTACCCAAAAACCAATGGGTGTATAAACTTCTGTGCTCAATTGTATATGGAAATGTGAGGTCATATGAATTAGTGGTCTCCAAAGTGACATTTTGTACACCCTTTTGTCCTGTACATTGTAGATTTCTTTTCCTCTAAACAGACTGTAGCATGTGCTTAATCAGGAGTGAATTACTATTGAAACATGTTACTGCTGAGAACTCAGATCTCAAATTTTATGCCTATTTCTCTGGGCTTGAGTTTGTTTCTGTTGTTGCAAAGACTATAATAATATTTGCTACTATATGAACAGTTCATCATTATGCCTGATGGCTATTTCGCAGAGCAGCATTTACTGTAACTTCAGCTAAAAGTAACAAAAACTGTTCTTATGAATATCTTGGACAATCTTTACAAATAAATGCATCACTATAACTATGGTCAGCATGTACATACATAAACAATTACTATTTATCAATCATTTAATTGTAATAAGTATAGTAATATACAAGTACTAAAGTCTGGTAGCCCCTGCAGGTCACTTGTATACTGCTTCAGTGAATGTACATGCATACACAAGAGAACAGCAATCTTGCAATGCCTCAGCATCATAGTTTTTCTTCCTGGTCAGATTCAGTATTTGAGAGGCGGGAGGTGAGCAGATTTGACCCACAGAGTCCAGCCGGATCCAGTCAGAGGTAGTCGTCCTCGCTGGAGAGGGATGAAATGGCATCATCAGGGTAAACGGAGCCCTGCGAGCTGCTAGAGGGACTACGGCTCATCCTCCACAGCTGCCAGGCGAAGGTCCGGCTCCAGCTGCATGGCTGACCCACACCCCGGAGCACGCGCACCAGCTCAGCCGCCTCCCGCCAGTAAGACGTTCACCTGCTGTGGCCACGCGAGCTCCGTTGCTTGCTCATGGTGGTCAGCATCTGGCTAATGTAGGAGGTCAGCAGGTCATCCATTTTGTAGCCCTGTTTAAGAAAAGCAGGGAAAAATATTCACGACTTAGAAAATAAAATGTTTATTTGTTATTTGGCAGTGTGCACATTCACAGTTATACAGACTGTAGAAGCTTCAGGGCTTTTTGTGAAGGTCACTTGAGGGATTCCACGCCAACCTTGGCAAACCTGAGCAGTGGTGGCTCAAAGGTTAAGGCTCCAGGTTACTGATCAGAAGGTTTGGTTCAAGCCCTAGCACTGCCAAGCTGCCACTGTTGGGCCCTTGAGCAAGACCCTTAACCTTCTCTGCTCCATGAACGCTGTATCATGGCTGACCCTGCATTCTGACCCCAGCTTCCTAACGAGCTGGGATATGCGAAGAAAAGAATTTCACCAAATAAAGGCTTCTTCTTCTAAACCATGTCTTTATGAACGACTCTTTGTGCACAGAAGCATTGTCATACTGGAACATGTTTGGGCCCATGTTTGCCCATTAGTTCCAGTGAAGGGAAATTGTAATGCTATGCATTTAGAATCTTATGTCACTGAGATAAAATAAACTGAATCTGGGAGATGGAGGTTTCAGAAAGATAAAGACCCCAAACATACAGCCAAAATAGCTCAAGACTGGTTTCTATAAAACAAGGTGAAGTATACAACCACAGCAGTCTTTGATCAATACATATCCCACTGACAAGTGGGTATGCAGGTATTGTAAGTATGCCATTAAGTATGCAAGTAAGTATGAATGCAGCTTATGTAACTAACAGAATTAGAATGGCATGCATTTAAAAAAAAAAATGTACAGGGCAGTTCACCATGAGGACATTCGACAGCCTCATTTGTTCTGTGGAATCCAAACATGACCATAGAATCTACTGACCAGTGACGTTTCACAGAGCAGCTTGCTTCCTCGCACCAGGTTGCCGATGGTGATGTGGAAGTAGGTGTTTCCACTGCTCCAGTTGGAGATCTTTGTAAAGGGGTGAGTGGTTAAAATATCCTGGAACAGAAAAGACAGGAATAAATACGCAAATCATTACCACATGGTTTGATTAGCTCATTTGCCTAAACTCATGTATACTGAAATCCTGATGTGGAAGAAGCAAATTCATGTCAATTCTGTCACACACCTTGGTTTTGGGGTCTATGAGACTGACTCCATGCTTGTTGATGGCTATTAGCAGGATTTCAGGAAAATTTGGCTCAGTAGTTTGCTGCAGTGGAGAAAAAGAATGGCAGTGGGTTGTAAGAGTGGTCAATTCTGTATGTACTGTATATAGCTGTCGGGAATGCAGTTTTATTATTACCTTCACTTCAAAGAAAGCTGATCCAAAAGTAGCCCACTTGTAAATGATCTTTAGAAACATCAGCTTGGCTTCCTCCCTCGACTTGCCCGCTTGCTTGTTGAAGTATGCCACAATCGACTGCATCAAACAGAACAAAGTTGAAGGTAATATATCCCAGATTGAATAAAAAACTGATCAGGATCAGTTACAGATATATTATACAATACATATCACAAACTCACTCTTTTCCAGTCATCAGGAGAGAGCTGGCGAATCAGATCCTGCGGGATCAGCTCTTTCAGCATTTTGGGGATGCTGGGAAAGTACGATTTGTCGTCTTCGAATTTGACTCTGTAGATTAGAGCTGCCAGCTGAAAGACTTCCTCTCTGGAGCATTTGTGGTAACCACGAAGGTATTTAGGAAGCTCCTGGATACGGAAGACATTTTGAAGCAATACGAAACACAAAACGATATAAATTCCGTATCAAGAGTATTACAGTAAATGAATGCAGATGTGATAATTTCATAGGTCATTGTATGGATAAAGACCTATTTACAAGGTATTCATTTCTTAGGGCACATTTTGTCTCATTCATGATCATATTTACTCATACAAGTGAGTTTCCAGCAGTTTTCTTTTCTACGAACCTGAATATTTGCATCAGACATGGTGATATGGTCATTAAGGAATAACACACTTTTGGGTGTGCTGTGTCAGGAAAATAATCAAAAAGGGGTAATGTGGTGCGGCACAGCAAAGTAGATTATTTTCTTGTAAAAGCATATCACGAAGTGTTTTATTCCTCTTATACCACAGCAATTTGCCAATGCAAAAAATTTTAATTTATTAAAGAAATTATATCTATTTACAGTTATGTTTATTGTTGTTGTTGTTCATTTAACTCACCTGATAGTAATGAAAAATAGAGTCTGCGAAAGAGTCCTTTCCAGGGATTGTGTTTGTCCATAACTTCTTCATGAAGAACACCTGGTACGTCAGCGAAGGCACTATACCTGTTAAACAAGAGGAGTTTTCTTTTAGCCACACATAAAATGCAGACATGTTACCAGATTTTGGCGAATCCTATACTAAACAGTAAACAACGACTTGAATAATGACTTTGTAAGTCATGCTTTGACTGTTACCATCTTTAGCAGGTCTGGCTTTCTTGATCCAGTCAGTAAGATGGCGGACAAAATCAAAGAAGAAATCACCCTCTGGAACACTTATCACCTGTAAAACATTACAGCTTTTGACATGCTGATATTTTTATAATACGTGAAACTCCCTATGAACTGCACACTGTAGCATGACAGCTGCAATCTGAGTGCATCTGTAACAGCTCTGTTTAGAGAGTAGCTGATATTACCTTATCAGAGATCTTTACAAACATACTGAAGCCGTCTGGGGTCTTGAGCAACAGCCTGCTGGAGATGTTTATACAAAAGTCTTTTGCTTTTGTGCTGGACTCGACCTCAAAAGCCTGAGACACAGAGAGAGTTTCAACTTTAATCAAATTTCACACTCACACTGGGTCACACCAACCCTAATCTCATTTCAGGCAGAAAAAACAAATTAGAATCCAACTGAACAAAGAAAGAGCGAGTCTCATGTCTTCAAGACTTTTTCAGATTATAAATAAAAAATAATAACCTTATTATAATAACCTTATGTTTGGTTTATTGTAATTGTACAAATTCACTCCACCCAGCCATTCAAATACTCGCATATCTTCCAGAGTCTGTGTTAATGCATAAATTAGCTCATCATACATAGGTTAAATGATATTAGCCGCTTTTTGGCCTAGTTAATCGAACTTTTGGGTGGGTATAACAAGAGAATGAGCAAGCACACTGAAGCTTTATATGTTATTTTTTTTATAAGCTATGTACTGTACAGACAATAAGGCACATGGGGCTGTTTAGTAAAATAAATAGACATTAGCACCTTGATTGTGGATGTAAACCCTTAGTAGGAGTGCTGTTAGAAAATAACTGATCGCTACTCGACTTTGCTTGCAATACCTCATCTGTGTCATCTGGGAAGTACACTTTGTGAAAGATTTGTGTGGTCTTGTGCTGGATAGCCTCCACTTCAACCAGGTGAGGAGGATACTTCCTGGAGCCATTCCTGTTATACGTAGAGCACAGAACGAAATATTCATGGTGAAATATGGTGCTGTTTCAAGTGGTGCACAGAGATGTACTTTTCAGAACAAGACATGTTTATTCAGAAGTTGGGGCTTGTCAGTGGCAAAGGAGAGACACAAAAAGACAAGATGGCAGGTTTTGTAGAAAGTTTTTAAGGGAACCGTTAGTCAATTGTGAAATTATATTATGAATCGGATTTTTAAAAAAAACCACGACAGGACATGCTAGTATAAGAAAATAATCAGTAACAGTGTGCTGTGATGCGTGACTGTTACCACCCCAAAGCTGATTTCCAGTAAAAGCACATCCTGAAGTGTTTTATTTCTCTTATACCACAGCAATTTGCCAATACTAACTTTTTTATTTATTGAAGAATGACACCATTTAGAGTTATGTTTAATGTTGTAGAATGTCCGCAAACAAAGTTAGTTCCTATTATCACTGTTATAGCAGCTATAAACAGCCTCATTTCTCTCTCTCTCTCTCTTGAAGTTAATAATACACTCCAGTGCTGACACTGGAGACTCCTTCCACAAATGCTAAATCAATGTATGTTCTTATATCTTGGTGAGGAACAAATGCAGCCACATTTGTGACGAATATCAGACAGAGTATCCGACCTTGCAATAACATTTGGCTGGTCCCCACGAGGAAAACTGCCTGTTTTTTTTTTTGTTTTTTTTAAAAACAAATACTTAAACAAATGCAAATTTTATTTTTTTAAAAAGAGCCAGAGGTTTGCTTTTGTGTGTGCACATGCATGCATGCATGTGCGTGTGTTAAGGCCATACCGCAAGGCTTTCTGCAATCTTTGCATGCAGTCCAGGGAGAGTGGATGGTGTTTCTTTGATTGCAGGAACCTCTGGACATGAGGCAGGAGGACATTACTGGGAGGGAAGAGACCAGTGCACAACCAGAGTAGCTCCCAGCCCTTTTCCTCACTGTACCTGCACACACACACACACACACACACACACACACACACACAGAGGTTAAAATGCAGTTTTGTAAGTGTATAAGCACTGTGTTTTTGGCTGTCAAGGCTTTTGTGATGGCTAGAGTAACAGGGTGGACAGAAGAAGGGACAGGTGGATATGCTGCATGACTTACTTCACATGATTCTCAGTGAGCTGTTTGAGAATCTGACAGTAGATCTCATCTTTTAGAGGCTCTGCCTTCAGAGCTCCCTCAAAGATCTGATCCGTGAGCTCGTTCACAGAACGAGTTCGTTTGGACGGATAATCACCCATATATTTCATAACGGGTACACAGGAGCAGGTTAAGGACACATTCAGTTCAGTTTTTCTATGCAGAACATTATAGAAATAAAGTTAAAATAATAATAACTAGTGGCTTTATGTTGTATGTTTATATGAGACCTTAAAGAATGATTACCAAAGTAATGATAGTTATAGTTATGAGCCTGTTTGACTGATCATTTGAAATAAATAGCTTTAATCCAAACACTCCAATAAATGGCCAGAATATTACTGTGTACATTTGTATAATAAGTTTAAAATTTGAATACTTCATAAAATAAATCTGAGCTGATGGGGTCTGTGAGGATTTTTATTTTTATTTATTTATTTATTTTTACACCTAATGGGGTCCCTGGCTGCAAATAGATTGAGGTTTATAGAGTATATACTATAATTTAGTGCTTTCACAACTCTCACACACACGATTCAGCTCACTGGATCATTAGACAAATCCTTGCTATCACTAGAACATCACAGCTTCTTAATACTTTCACTAAAACTTATGCAGTATGTTTTCTGTCAAACTAGAGATATTGCTAGTTTGTCGACATGGACCAGGTCTA